GCGGAAACGCACGTGCCGCCCTAATGGCACACTGACTGCCCCCGCCGTCCGCGTGGCAATTCGGCACGCTGCTTGGGGCGGCAAAAACAGTAGAGCCGGCCCTGATTCTAGGATTAATTCAAGAGAACTTGAGGGCTCTATTACAGAATTTAACAACTTCCAAATGTGTCCTCCTTTTGGATTTGTTGCTTGAGAAAGCATTCATACCTTAGTCTTTATTTAGCTGTCTTCTATGTATTTTTCCTGACATATGCCAAGGGGGTGGTCACCATCCTTGAAATTTAGGTTTACCTGAAAAGAGAAACATAAATCTTACAAAAGTGTCAAATGCATCATGCAAACAAGAGCATAACAAATTTCCAAAGGCAAATTTCCAGGTCATCCTAAGTAAATCAGCAAGGAAATATCTTCAGTACTATAGAGCAAGATACTCGGGGGGAGCGGGGGTCTGAAAATCAGTGGATCCATAAACTCTTGGAAAATTAGGTACACCAGCACTTTCCACAGAAGGTAAGCTTTCCATTTAAAAAAAAAAAAAAAAAAAAAAAAGTGTTTTCCAGGTACAAAGATACCTTAAATGTGAACTGATGCAGTTTTGTTTGCAATCAGCCAGCAACGTTACTACTTAGGAAGTATCAGTTTCCTCCATTCACTTCAACGAGTTGTTAATTTAAATGCCAGACTTGCTGAAATATGACGGATAGATCAGGTCATAGTAGGATAAGCAGCATTTCTGATACAGTGAACAATGAAACACTGCAGAAATGTATTTTTACAGTGAAAACAGCTAATTCTGTTTGTGACTAACAGATAGAGGGAAAATAACTTTCTTGAAGTTCAAAGTGCTGCAGATGCTGCTGGGATCAAGAAGAGAAGCTTAGAAGGTTTAGAAGATCCAGGAAGGAGGAAGGAAACCCCTAGTTCCTGCAGCTCCCACACTCCTGCAACAGCTCACAGTGCTTAGAGATCTTAAATTCAATTAAATGACCCAATGTATATAACTAAACAAGATTATATTCTGCTGTAATTATAAGAGCGCAACACAAAAAGTACTAGAAATAGCATTCCACAAAAACAGCAAGATCTAGATATGCCAATAACTCAATGTTTCTTCAGGTACCTAATCTGATTGCACTAAAGGTCTTCCGTCTAAACCTTGTTCTATTACAGGGCTCGGTAACCTTTGGCACATGGCTCGCCAGTGTAAGCACCCTGGCGGACCGGGCTGTTTACCTGCCGTGTCCGCAGGTTCAGCCAATCGCGGCTCCCACTGGCTGCGTTCGCCGTCCCAGGCCAATGGGGGCTGCAGGAAGCGGCGCGGGCCAAGGGATGTGCTGGCGCCGCTTCCCGCCGCCCCCATTGGCCTGGAGCAGCGAACCGCGGCCAGTGGGAGCCGCAATCAACCGAACCTGTGGACGCGGCAGGTAAACAAACTGGCCCGGCCCACCAGGGTGCTTACCGTGGCGAGCCGCGTGCCAAAGGTTGCCAATCCCTGTTCTATTAGGTGGCTCAATAGCAACAATAACTTTATTAATATTTGAGTTTATCACAGGAGCATATTGTGGTGTAAACATTGGCCTCAGGCTTCAGCCCAAGTCTGAACGTCTACACTGCAATTAAATAGCCCCTTAGCCCGAGTCAGCTGGCACAGGCAAGCCAGCGGGGTTTTAACTGCAGTGTAGACATACCCTTAGCGGTTGAGCAAGGGCCCCCACTCTCAGGGTTCTAGCTCCCTGTTGCCTTTATTGGGTGGAGACCTGCATCCCTCTCCTTCCCGACCACGGATTTCCAGGCTGAAGAAGAGTTCCCTGGCTTCACGGAGTTATTTCCAACAAAAGACAGTATGCCTAAACAGGTGTGCTTGCTTTCTCTTTAGAAACTGTTAATAGTGCAATGCCACAGTTACAAGTTACCACACAGCACTTTCTAAGCAGGCATGTTTATTCTTAGGGCATAAGCACTACAGAGAAAACATATTAAAAACAATACAAGAATCTGCACATATGCTAATAAGCTTACCAGAAATCACCCCAACTGTCTTCAATATGAGCTCTGGCACACACCCCCCCCCCACAGAGGAGTCTCTCTTGTGGTCACAAGTTCAAAACAGCCTTAGCTGAGAACTAGCACCCGCATGAAAAGTTCAGTCCCTCCTTTCTATAGTTTGGAGGTCTTTGAACTGGAGTTTTCAGGAGCAGATAATCTGTAGACAATCGGTTTCTCTTCCATGTAGCCAATAGAGATGATGCTTGTTTATGTTTATATAGAAATGTAAGTAGGCCCAAAAATCTATTTCTTAAAAGTAGGCTTGACAATAGTCAAGCAAGGCCTGGGAAAATAGGAGTAAAGTGAAGTGAGACAATTCGGAGGCAAGCTGAAGATAAGTTAGGACATAGCCAAACATGTAAACAAGTTTTAGACCTAGCTGGCTTTTACAAGTGTTTTAAATAAAATGTTAATATTTTGGAAAATGCTATCTATATTGATAGTTATTTCTATGGCATTTGTGAGATGTTAATTAGGATGACATTTAGTGTTGAAAAGCCAGTGAGAACGTAGAAAATATTTAATTATGGTAGCGGAAATACAGATATGGTAAAAGGTGGATTTAATGCTAATTAATTAAGGGGGGGGGTGTTATATTTTATTATAAAAAGAGAAATACGCTGATTCCAGATTAGGTGCACCCATCCACCATCAAGATACCATTAGAGAAAAGCTTATACCTGTTCTCATTTAGGAAGCGATTACCCCTAAATGCATCAGTTCATCTTAAAATGGGAGTATCAATGCACGTATGGTTATATTGCAATGCCTGTTTATTTTATATATAAGTCGGTTAAGCAAAGTTTTTAATTTGATCACTCATGGCTTCATTCACATTCCTCCAGTAAAATTACATTAAATTATCTCTAATCATCCTGGAGGCTCGAACCTTAAAAAATTCAGTTTGGTTTTATTCCTTATTTTTAAAATATTAATTGGGAACATATAAATCTAAGATTACAATTAGTGCCAAAACCTAGGACTGTGAAGTTTATGACTGAGTGATTTTGGGGTTCATTGGGAAGTGGGAAAGTCAGGAAGACTTTAAAGAGCAGTTCTTGCTTCTCACTTCACTTAGAATCCTTAAGTTTTGTAACACAGTTGCAAGACTGTTTTGAAATAGACTGTGGAATTGTTTTTGTCTCTTGTTAGCAACTGCAGTTAAAATATTTTTAGTGTTATACAAAAGAACTGATTTTGAAATATATGATTTGATTTTTGGTGGTATTAAAAGTTATAGAAACCCCGTACTGGCTCAAGGACATAGATCCGAGACCACCCAAGAACAGCCAGATACCAACAAGCAGTTAAGCTTGGGTCTTGCATCCCCCACAAATTTAAATAGGCTGTAGGGACTGGCCAGAGAGATGGAAGTCTCAGAGGAAAACTAAGGCTGGTGACAGCACACTAGCCTTTGATTCTGGTGCCAAACAGGGGGACAGGGTTGACCGCGTTTCCTACCCCCTTCTTAATTCTGGCTCACAGAGAAGCCAAAGACCCCATATAAGGTAATTTATCACTTATTTAAAAATCCAACCCACAAACAGGTCAAAGACCTCCACAAGGGCATCTTATTCGGCTGCCAAAGAGGTGTTTAAAAAGTTGACCATGTTTCTTCCTTCCGCTTACATTTCCCAGAACTGAAGGGGTGTGTAGGAAATGATCGTGCCTCTCTACCCACACCTGTATTGATTCCAGTCTAGAAAAAAAGACTGAGGACTCTAAGAGGGGTATTTGAAAGATGATAGGTTACCATCATTAAGGCGCACAAACGGATGCTTAGGAAGTTGAAGCACTTTTTCCCTTCATCAGAAAAAAAATTTGATTCCAGTCCAGGGTAACTGAAGACCCTAAATAGGATACTGGGTGGGGATTGATCACCTACCCTTTGATTCTTAAAATAATCTAAAGAATCACTGGGAAACATCCAGTGATTGTGCACCTTCCCTCTACCTGCATTGATTCCAGGCCAAAGAGAATCCAAAGATTCAAATAAGGATATTGGGGAAACTGAGTCAGGTTGCTGACATATGAACTTTAATGTGCCAAGAGTACATAACATTAAAGAAACCAGTTTTTACTCTAGTAAAATGTACTGAATGGGGAATGCCTCTTCAGGATCTAGTGGCACAAGAAATTCTACAAGAAGAGTAAACAAATAATTTAAATGACTTTTGTTAAGTCTTCTATTGCTGGTCATGGGGGAGGTATGGACACCATGGTAAACTTAGCAGACTGGCAAGATCCCTTTGGGTTTGTGTGTACTTTGTTTAAACAAAGGCTAATAATAGCAGAAAGTTAATAGCAAAGATTTAAAGAAAGCAGCAATGACTGTTTGTTGTTACTGTGGACTTCTTTAGAGAGACAGTTTAGGCAAAAAGTAGAGCAACACGAGTTAGTTATAAGGGAGATTAAAAATATTACAAACCAGGCAGAGGACCTCAATGTTGGAGCATCTAATGAATTTGAATAGGATCGTGCCCAAGAGTTAGAGATTCCTTACACAGAGGTAGTTGGCTGAGCTTCGTGCTGTTTTACATGAAGGGAGACAGATTTTTAGTATAGGCACTCCTGTTTTAGAAGATGATTGGATATTTTTGGAAATGAAGGAAGATACTCAGTTTTTAGGGAAGATCTGTCAGAGATTAAACCTGACACTCTGATTTCCCAGGGAGATAAGCCAGAGGAGGAACTGGGACAAAAATAAAGTAGAGTGTTGACCAGGTCCACAACTCAAAGTCTGAGAAATCAAATAGATTCTGACGCAGAGAGCAGCTCAAGTGAAGACAGTTTGGATTGTGATAAAACCTGTGATTTTGTTGCTGGAGCAACGGGGGTTTCTATTCCAGATTTTAGAGCAGATTACCTTGTCCTTGATCCTGTGGGCTAAGTGTTAGCAACACCAAATGCTCCTTCCCTTCAAATTATGAGATTTTTTTTTAACACTGCTAAACAAAGCAACCTGCAATCTAGTACTATTTGTGAAACAGCAAGAGCACTACTAGATAGTTGGAATGGGAGTGGATTTTGTAACCCTTTGTATGTAGAATCTGGTACAGCGCAAGTGTCTCATTTTCAAACCCCCAGCCTATCTTCCCCAGATAGGGTATTAAACAGTAATACCTCAAAAGCGGAAAGGGAAGATCCAGAGGGATCAAATGATGGACATTGTCCTGTGGCAGTAGTGGATGTTAAAACATTGGATTTGGTAGCTAAAAATGTTGATCTGTTTAAAAAGGGTGTTCTAATTGCCCTGAACACTACGAGAACTGTGAGTAATAGTCAAATGTTTCAATCGGATAATAGGTATTGATTCAAGGTTTTACAAATGACGGGGAGCCTTCTTTATGATATGCTCTCCCACCACATTTTCAGTCAGGAGCTAAGGATTTTGCTGAAATGCTGGATAAATTGGAAGAGATTTTATATCCAGTACAGGCTGTGATTGCACAGTTCGCAAATATTAAAAGAAAGAGGTCTCCTCATGCCTATCATGAAAAGATAGCTGTAGCCTGGGATAGCACTAACACGCAAGGGGATGTTGGTTGTCCTGAATAAGTGGATTTGTTAATTAATAATGTTTTGCCTATTAAAAAGAAAGAAGGTTTCCATGTGAACAAGGAATCAACGCTGACCCAAATGTGTGAGCTGATGGCCAAAGCTGCTGAGATAGGCATTGAAGAGACTGTGCAGCCAATGAGGGGTAAAAACAGAAAGCTTCCTGTAGCTGCAGCAGGAGGTGAATGGGTTGAAGCACCCAGCCATGCTCCAGCAACCAAGCCTTGACCAATGCAGTGGAGGTTTGAGACTTCTCAATCTCAGACAAAAAAAAAAGCTGCCAGTCAGCTCCAACATAGGCTCCTGCCAAGGTTTAAAAACCAGAAGCTTAGAGCACAGAAACTCTCTTATGAACCTAATCAGTCCTATGGCCTGTTAAAACCCTAATCCTTCACTAAATCAAGAGTCAAAAACTCCTAAGTCATTTTGGGGGGGGAAGATCAGTGGAGCCTGTGGGCCCCTGCCCAATCTGATTCACTGAATCAATGAGATGAAACAGTAGCAGATATTCGCCATATGAATGTGGCCTTTGTAGCTCAAGTGAAGGAATTGAAGTGGTTACACAAGCAACTGGATCCTAATGAGGAAGAGTAATCAGAAACCCAGTAGCTTCCTCCTCTCTAATGGAATGGGATACCTGGTTTTCTGGATCAGTTAACCAGGCCTGTGACTCCAGAAACTAAGTAAGGTGAGGGGGAGAGTATTCACACATTCACAACCACACCACCAGATTCCATCATGTCATATAATATCCTCCTTATATACAGACAGAGCAGGGAGACTAACTGTATCAGCTCTCATAAGGGGTCACAAGGTAATGTTCATTGTTGATATAGATGCAAATATATCTGTATTATATGACCCTCACCCAGTCATGTCACCATTGGCAGGAAGAGGAGTCATGTTTCTTGAAACCTTTATGAAACAGCCTATCACACCCACTGATAGCCCGCATAGGAGTTTTATGCAGGACTCATGTGTTTGCTCTGGCAAAATTACCAAAACCACAAAGCCTGTTGGGAGCAGATTTTCTGATGAAGCAAAGGTTAATTTTAGATTTGACTAACAAGTTGATTTGTCAAACAGTGGTAAAGGATTTGGGGAAAGAACCCTTTGTGATTCCAGAATTACATGAGCCATGTCCCAAAGAGATATGCATAGCTGGAAGATTATGCAGTTATACTGTATTCAGACACTGTTTGGGTGTACAACTCCTTAACAGACTTTTTACTCTTTTGGCTTAGAAGTGGTTTTACCTCTACTGATGGCTCCATGATAAAATACCCCATTTTAGTATCTAATATGGTTGAGTTAGCCTTTTGTTTACAAAAGCCCCTTTTGATTAAAAAGGCTAAGGCTCACAGTAAAACTGATCCATGTGCCATCCAAAAACAGAAACCAGACTGGCTGGCTAAGTAAGGAGCAGCAGGAAAAGATCTGTCAGTGTGTAATCAATTATAGTAAAAGACATCCTTAATCAAGCACCTGTGGCCTCCTAAAAGGAAAGGGTTCAGGATGTTATTCCAAATCTAAGAGAATTCAAGAAATTCTCTTAAATTTGGAATAACATCCTGAACCTTGACATGGCTGGATCAGGTTTTCAGTCAGACTATTTAATAAATGTCTGGGTTAATGACCCAAGGAGTTGTAGGTGCAGGCTGGATTGGGAATAATGCTCTGCCTGAGAATTCACCTTACAAATCCTTTGAAGGAAATTTTGAAATAATTGATGGGATTGGAATGTACACCAAAGATGTGGGTGGTGCCTACAGCTCTAAGAAGAGAGCTCATCCGTTTGGTTCAGGATTCCCCCATGGGAAGACATCAGGGAACTGAAAAGACCCTCCAACAGTTGTCCACTCTAGGATGGTGGCTCACTATGAGGGAAGATATTCATGAATATTGACAGTCTTGTCTTGTTTGTGCTCAAGTTAATCCCACACCAGGAAAAAGAAATACTCTTTCAAGGTCACAAAGGCATGAGGTCCTTGATATACCTTACCAAACAAGGTTATAGGATCCCTGCCAATTACTCAGAAGGGGGAAAAAATTGTTTGTGATCGATTCCTTTTTAAAATTATTGGAAGCTTTCCCCAGGTAAACCAATACAGCACTAGTCTCGGCTAAAGTTCTGGTACTACAGGTGAATCTTCCATGGTGATCAATCAGGCCTCGCAGCACGATGGAGAGATACCCCTTCCCGCTGATAAAGTCTTTCTATACTGCAACTGGGAGGTGTGATTGCAGCATGTGTAAACATACCCGAACTAACTTTGATCTAGCTAGGTCTAAAGTGGCTCAAACTTTATGATGTTCCCAGGTTATGCTGCCACGGCTTCACTACTATTGTTATTTGAGCCACTTTTGATCTAGCTAGATCAGGGGTTCTCAAACTGGGGGTCAGAACCCCTCAGGGGGTCATGAGGTTATTACATGGGGGGGTCGCAAGCTGTCAGCCTCCACCCCAAACCCCGCTTTGCCGCCAGCATTTATAATGGTGTTAAATATATAAACAAGTGTTTTTAATTTATAAGGGGGGGGTCACACTCAGAGGCTTGCTATGTGAAAGAGGTCACCAGTACAAAAGTTTCAGAACCACTGAGCTAGAGCAAAGCTAGCTTAGGTATGTCTACACATCCTGCAATCACACCTCCCAATTGCAATGCAGACATATCCAAAGATTTTGGCGCGATGTGGTTGGCGTAGAATAGGAATGTGTGTCCCATCAATAGCCACAGTTGGGAACCCCATCTATGCAAAGCCATCAATAACCTCCTGTGCATTGCCAAACTAAGCCATGCAGTACCTCATTTTGGCATCAAGTGGGCAGAATTTATGTATCCCTAACCTATTAAACTACTTGTATTCTTCTCAAGGAACAGCCATTACAAATAATTTACCCCAAAAATTATACAGCAGAGCAGTATTTCCCACTTACCAATATCTCTTAAGAGAAAAACATTTAGATAAAGATACATTTTAAAATATCCATAGGTCTGAATTAAGGATTAAATTAACTTTATTTTCTCTGGTAAATGGTGGTTTTATTATGCTGGCCACTTGAGATTTGGAGAATCCTGTTAACTTCCCTGCTTTTAAATGTTTTGATTTTGCAATTGATACGAGAGGTAAGCACATCATCACTCACCAGTCTTAACTTGCTTTAGAAACACTCTCTTCTGAGACTAATATAGAAATGGGGCCAAATGTGTAAAAGCCAAGTAATGAAGGAGGATGGGGGGAAAGAGACTCAGATTTTTGCTAAAGTCCCTGAGGAAATCCTACACATGTGGGATAGATTCCCATAGATGGCCATGGCTGGAAATGACACTAATTTTATGGGCTCAGTCTGGCTTCTAGATAATATCTCATCACCACAAGCCATTTTTAAAACAAATGATAATGCTGCCCAAGACAGACCCAAGACTGGAATAACAGAGTTGCTTGTCAAATTTGATGTGCACTGGCAGAACTGCATATGGAAACCTGACAATCTCTTACCCCACCAATACCTCACTCTAAACAATACTTGATACTGGAGATTGACAAAATCCACTTGCTAGGGGCTAGTGTGATGCTATCTCTAGTGAGTATAAGGGCCTATGCTATACTTTTCTGGAAAATTGCAGTATTCATTTAAAATACTGAATTTCTAGCTCTTATGGTTAAAAATAACCTTACAAATGTAAACCAATACATTGTTGTCTCCTGAGTTTGCACGGACTATGCTCAGTGCTTTGCCAAGCAGAAGTGGAAAATTAACACAACTGATAGATTTCATTGACAGTATTCAGTGTGATTGTTAAAAGTCATTTCAGTTTCACACTGCTGACTTTTCTGAGACAGCTATGAGTAGAGGCAGAGTCAAAGTCAAACTGGAGTTACTCACTTTTTTGGGGGTGGTTGTCTCTTGTAGCAGGAACTCCCTTGCTTCCACCACTCCTTGCATCAGTCATTATATAGTCAACTTCAAAGTGACAGCATAAATTATGTATATGTTAGTTAGAATGACTTCTTTTTTCAAATAAGTATCATTACAATATATCTTGTTACAGATTCAGCATTCTGGACTTATTTGCATACACTGGACAACATAGCGAAGAAAGTAGTAAAGTATTAAGGACAACTTCAGATCCTGGGTCACTGTCAGTTAACCAAAATTAAGTCTCCTTATTAGTCATTTCAAATATATGGTTTCTAGTGATTTTTAGGGGATTTCAAAGGTTAATTCCAAAATTTGTCCCATTTCCTCTTACAAATACTTACCAACATTACATGGAAAGAGTGCAGTACTGCTACAATTTTACTTTCTAAACATGATTTCCTACCTGTGTTTGAGCACAGTCATATATTATTTGTAAGTAGATAATGCAAACCTAAAATAAAAATCACCGACTCGCAAGGAATCTAATGCTTTATAATCAGTAACACCAACAAATAATAAGCAAAGACATCCTAGTCATGCAAACATACAAATCAAATCCAAAACAAATAATAAATTCAACTAAAATACAACCAAATTTAACCCAGACACTTGAAATTTTTGACTGAATAGTTTATTCACTGAAAAATATAGTTTCAGGTCACCAAAGCTAGTTGCAAATTTGAAAAAACTGGGTGGGCTAGATTCACAGAAAGAGTGAGGATGTCTCTGTTGCCCAAGGTTAGGGCACTCACTTAAGAGGGGGAAGACCCCAGCTCCAGACTCTGCTCCTTAGCAGGAATTCATGTCTGGGTTTCTCACATCCCAGGTGAGTGCCTTAACCACTAGGCTATTAGTACAAAGGAAGACCTGACATCACCAGTTTTATTAATCTAACCCTTCATTTCCTTTGCTTTTATTTTAAAAAGCCAAAGGTTAAAAATGCCCCCAAAACAAAATGGAATATTCCATTTAACATTCCATTCCTTTTTCAATTCACAAAAAAATTCCAATTGGTTTTAGTCAAGCTGAATTTCTGTTTTTTTTGGAACTGTCTGTGAACCAAAAAAATCAGTTTTTCCCCACAGCTGTACTAGACACTGAGTTTCCAGACTCAAAACCTAGTATTCTACTGTTTACGAGAGCAAGCACTGTATCCAAATTTGTGGTTCCCGACAAGAAATGCGGCAGTTCCTATTAACAATTGAGACATACTACACTGAAGTCAGAGCAGAAGCAGAGCTGCTCTCTGTAAATCAAAGTAGCAATTCACAAGGTGACAAAATACACAACTTTGAAAACTTGACAGTGTTAGTATCTGTTTGCACATATCCACTATTTCCCTAAACATCTTTTTACATGATATTCTTTACCATTAGAGAAATCCAGTTTGATTGGTAAATAGCATTTGGGGACAACGGTAAGAAATTGGTCTAGAAACTAACATCAAATACTGAAATATGAAAACGAAAAAGCCTGGTTTCAGAAAGAAGCTAAATTTCAACTGATTTAATGGCATCTATTCCAAAATAAAACAGTCACAGAGACACTAATTCCTGTCACCCCACCTCCATATTGCCTTGTACAGATGAGAAGTTCAAAAAAGCTCAAGAAATGGCATCTATTTTTGTGAAATTATTTATAAGGGCCAGTCCCTAATCAAATCAGTTAATGCATTCTTCTGTTGGTGATGCACCCTATCCTACATAATTTCACTTGCCACTAATTTGACAGGCAAGGTGATGTAAGCATGTAGTAAATTAATTAACCCCTGCACACAAGGATAAGCAGATAGATACCCTGGAGCTTCACACCCAGGAGATATGTAACAACCCACAGGGCTGTAGCTTACGGCAGTGGTTTTCAACCTGTGGTCCAAGGACCCCTGAGAGTCTGCAGACTATGTCTATGATTTCCAAATAGGTCCGTACCACTATCTGAAATTTGTTAGGGCTCTGCAAATGAAAAAAGGTAGAAATCCACTGGCTTCCAGAGGTGCTGGAACAATTTGTATAGTGGGGGTGCTGAGAGCCATTGAGCCAAACCTGTAAACCCACCCTATCTATATACGATGGGAACCACTTCAAGCCAGGGGGTGCAGGTCACCCCTAGTGCCAGCACCTATGCTAACTTCTGGCATCCAGAGGCGTTTCTCAGCCAGCCTGCTTTCAACTAGATCACAACAGTCCCTGCAGAGGCTGCAGCAGGAGAAGCTCTGCTGCAGATGCTGCAAGGTCTCAGGGCAGCCCCCCTGCCCGCGCTCCACAACTGCTCTAAGGGCTCCCGCTGCTTCCCGGGAGCCCAGGCACTGGGGGCTTCTCTTGGGGGGGTGAGGAAGGAGGGTGTTCAAGGGAGAGGAGCGGCGGGGCAGAGTTAGTGAGCAAGGCTGGGGCCAGCCCGGCTCTGGTTCACCCGCACCCGGGGCTCGGCAGAGACGCCGCCTCCCCAAACCCCGGGCGGCTCCCCCGGCGCTGCGAGCTCCCAGCCCCGCCATCCCCTTACCTCCGCCAGCTCCGTCCGGGCCCCGCCGGCAGCACCAGCCCGGCTAGCTGCGGCCCGGGACACTCCGCAAGCAGGCGCGCTCCGCCCCCACTGAGCAAGAAGCCCGGCCCCGCCCCAGCCCGGAACGAGCGTCCCTCCCGCACCAGGCGGCCCCCGCGGGCTGCGCTCTAGGTCCTCAGCCCGGCCGCGGCGCCGGCCCCGCCACCGCCCGGCAGCCGTGCACGGAGCACCCCAGAGTGGGGGCATCGCTGCGTGGAGGGCCCAGCCCGTCCCTGGCCCTGCGCCCCGCACTCAGGTACCTCACGCCAGTCCAGGCTGAGGGCGCTGAATTGTTCCCAGCCCTTCACTAGGCGGAGCTGAGTTTAAGTGCAGCTCAGGCGGGCAGGGAAAAGCAGGAGCTCCACAGCCCAGAGGCTAGAAGGGGGGAAGATCTGCTTCCTGCCCCTGGCTGCTGCGTCTGTTTCCCCTCCTTCCTTTCCTCCCCAAACTGCTTCTCCCTCACCCCACAGGCTGCCCCCTTGCATCCAATGCAGCCCAGTCCCATCCACCCCTCCCCTGTAATGCTACACTTCCACTTCTATAAGTGGAAGGCAGAGCATCTGCTCCCCTTATGATGTTATATGAATAAAAACATGACTAGGCTTGGCACGATTTGATTTGTATCCGATAAATGACAGTTTCACTTAGGGTGACCAGATGTCCCGATTTTATAGGGACAGTCCCGATTTTTGGGTCTTTTTCTTATATAGGATCCTATTACCCCCCGTCCCAATTTTTCACATTTGCTGTCTGATCACCCTAGTTTCACTGAATGCAGGGGAGTTGTAGCCCTGTTGGGCCCAGGATATTAAAGAGACAAGGTGAGTGAGGTAAGATCTGTTGGACCAATTTTTCACTGTACACACACAAACTGATAAAAAATATTTCTGTCTCTAATAATCCAACCTGACAGATGGCAAAGAAAGAAAAATGCTTCTTGAGTAATTATCAGTTTGATTTAAGGATATTTAGCCTTGGTCTACTTTTAAATTTTAGGTCAACCTGGGTACATCGCTTCAGGGGATGAGTGTGAAAAATTCACAGAAAAAAAAAAAGTTCTTGTGTCCTCGGAGCTACTGCTGCTCAGGGAAGTGGATTACCCACATTAACATAGACAACATCTACACTACAGTGTTACAAGAGTAGCTCCCATAGTGTAGACATGTCCTTACTTTGTATGGTTTGACATGTGATGTTGACAGTTTGTGTTTTAACAGTTATAAAGATTTATCTTTTTGAATCTCAACACCTATTTTCATTAAATAATTGTCTGACACCCCCCCCAATAATTTCCCACAACTGTGAAAAAGTTAATAAAAATCTTTTAAAATGTTTAAAAATAAACATTGATATTATTCATTGAAATTATAAAAAATAAAATTGAATTCTGTCAAGCCTAAATATGACACACAGTGGGGAATGCTTATTAAACAGACTTTACTAAGAGTGCTCAGCTTACTTCAAAGACCCAGAAACCCCCTGTGTAGAACTAGATACTTACAATTAACTAATGGCAAGTTAGGTTGTAAGAACACAGAACTTTCTGCATCAATTGGACACATGCATGCGGAGGATTGACTGCCAAAAAATATCTCCAACAATTCTAAGAAATTTCCTCAGTAGTGTAAGACAGTGATTGAAAAGTGATTTCCACCCTCGCTGCATCATTTGTCCGTGGCACAGTGGACTCGTATTACAATACACCTCCACTGTTATTGTCAGTAACTTCACACCAAGAATCAGTCAATACTTCAAGTGACCCTATTTTCAAAATAAAAAAGTGGAACACTTGTTTGGCATTTCTTTTTAGAGTCACGAAACGAAAGTCATACTAAAGGCAAAAGTACACTGTACAAAACAAAAGTGTGCTATCGTCACTGCCAGCTTGTGACTCAACAGTGATATTTGCATTTCTCTCCTGGTGACGGATTTTTCTTGGTAAGAGTGTTCTAAATAAAATCATAAAACTCAAGAACAATTTTTATAGTGTCTGCTCTCGTTCAACTTGTCTGTTCACTTTATGCCTGTCTTTTCATACTGGCCCAGTACCCTACTATGTGTCATCAATCTGTTGCAAGTGGACCCAGTTTCTATGTCCCACATGCTTCCAAACCAACGGGGTAGAGTCTAGTCACTGTTTCTAGCTTTGAGGCTCCAGGGCACACTCTCTCTCTCTCTGACCTCTTGTCTGACACCCTTCCTTGGGATGTCACCATCCACCCACCCTAGATCCCTAAACCAGTGTTTGAGACCTCCCTGCCCCCCCCCCCACCGTCACTTACAACTGCTCCCTCGAACCCTACCTAGATTGTGGACACTGGACTTCTAGTTTAACCCCTTCAGGGACAACATAGTAGGAAAGCAAGGAGCACAGGCTTAGCAAAAGAATCTTAACCACAGAAACTTTACTCTTCTAGCACTCAAGAGTTACAGACCTTTGAAAATAACAAAGGATTTGACATCCATGCTCCCCATGTCTGTGTTGACCCCTTTTGTGAATCTCA